GGTTACAGTAGCTAGGTGCATGAGGGTGCCGTGTGACTGTTCAGTAGTTAAAAAGGGAAATAAATAGGACATCAGAAGCTATTAGGAAGCAAAGGAGAACAAAACCAAGTGGACTACAGAAACAGATGATAAACCATATCTTAAATAGTGTGTGCAACTGCTAGTTACCCTGTTTAATTTACAAAAGGATAAATTAAAAATGAAAATAAGATATACAGAGTAATAAGGGGAGTAAATGATACGGATCAGAGCTGTGACTTGGAGAAGAGCTAGTTCAGGTTGGAAATCGCACTTTGATGCAATCAGAGATGGCATTCAGAAATAAGAGGCATCATCTTCCAGCTGTTCCAGTTAAAACACAAGACATCATTGAATGAAATTAGTGAGCAAACGGCTTAAAGCAATAGGAAAACATTTTCCTTCCTCTTTTTTTAAGCATAGTCTACTGCAATTAAGTTTTAGAGCTCTCCGCAGATCTTGCAGATGCCAGAAGTTTGTATGATTCTTAAAGCAGTTAGAGAAGCACACAAAAGGTAAGTCAAAAGCCATTAGATATAAAAATATAGTAGCCAGTCACTGAACTACAGATCTTCAAGGTTGAGAAAGCATTTCAGGACATACCACTACAGACTTAGACTGTTAAGAACAGAGTAACACTTCCCTCTGTACCTGCTACTGGCTAGTGTTAAAGAAAAGCTACTGAACTTGATGGACTTCTAGTCTGGTCATGGATGGCTATGCTTGCACTCTTACAAGTAGACAACTCACAGGCTGATATGGGTTGGAAGGGACCTTAAAGATCATTTAATTGCAACGTCCCTGACCTTCCACTAGACCAGGTTGCTCAAGAGCAAAGAGTTAAAACATTTGGGTCCAACAGAGTGAAAGCTGAGACAGGAAGGATATTTCAGATAAAGGGTGCTAGCACAAGCTTGAATAACAAGTAACTATACTGAAAATCAGAGGGGAAAAAAGCTGGTAACAGTTTTCTAGCTGGAGTAACAGGGAGCCAAAACATAACTGGTTTTGATCAGGGCAATGAAGGAGAGGATTACATGAAGGTAGAGTAAAGATTTGGATGTGATGTTCCAGAAAACCCCTCCGTTCTTGTGTTCCTATGAGACTGGTGTTCAGCCTCACAGCTGGCAAGATCAGATATTTACCAGTTCAGCTTTATTGCCTCTGAACAGATAAGGAATTCTGGATAAGCCTACTGTTGAAAAATGTGCCGGTGTTAGATGAGATTTTCAATAGAAGGGGCTTTTTACCTTTGGCCCTCTCTTCTGGAGGTCCACCTGGAGCATCCATTTCTCTGTGGTCAGAGGTCCCTGGTCCATCGTTCCAGGGACGTTTACGTGGTGGTAGTGAGGCCATGTCCATGCCCTGGAGTGAAGAAGCACGTTCTCTGTTAGCTGGAGAATGCCTGTCATGAGAAGGGTGATCAGGACGAGGACCTGAGCATGAAGATTAAAAACAGGACAATAAGTAATGTTGACGTGATTGGTATTCTTCACTTTTTTTGAGGAAGTCACATCAATTTACACCTTTTCCATTGTACTTGGCACACAATTTTAAGTTAAAATTAACATAAAGCTTCCCCCCCTCCCCATCCCAACAGGAAAACAAGCAAACATTAGATGAGTAAGTTTTAAGAAAGCTAAAGGTAAAACTGGTCTCTAAAGGATGATGGGAATGAAAGTGATAAATCTAAAGGGTTCTTTCCAGTGTATTTTCATGTATTTTAGAGATGTTCATATCTGCATCTATTCATTTGTGTTTTTTCCATGACATTTGAAAACTCAGGTTTTCCCCCATTAGTAACACAAATGCAAATTTCAGTAAGCTGTCAGACACTGCAGCTGAAAACATGATTTTTGCAACAACAGAAGATGCCACCCAAGAGAAAGATTACCATCGGCTTTAACGTACACCTCAAAAAATCCCCAGGTATGTACTTCACTCATCCACAGGTGACAACAACAGGCAGTCCCAGGCTGTACAGTAAATCAACTTAAAATTGAGGCTTTGAGGCCATAATAAATTTGTTTGCTGAGGCACCTGCATTTGGAGCCAGTTAAATTATGTATAGTATTTTTTTTCTTGAATTTAGAAGTCCAAAGAGCTATGTTTTGGTGTTCTTATAGTAAAAGACTGTTCATGAGCATGTGAGGTACAGGAAGAAGAAGTGATTTTTACACCTAAGTTTTTTGGTCATTGGTTGGTTATATTACAGAAGTCTGAAGTTATCTAAACAAACCTCTCCAGTTTTTACCTGGTTCTCTGTTTCCATCCCAGGATTCTGGTTTCCGCCCTCCTTCAAAGCGTGGAAATTCATCTGGAGTGGGAAGTAAACCCTTCCGGCCTCCTGCGCAGTAAGAGATGCAGTGGACAGGAGACGTTGGATTCATGACAATACTGTAATTTGCCCAGGAAGTGTCTTTGCTTCCTTATCCTAGCATTTCAGTATGGAAGAATGTTCCACTCACCTCTCACAGCACCACGACCTCGCCCCCGAACACCATGGTCCCTTCCTCTTGAGTTTTCATCTGGAGAGTCAAAAGCATCATCTGGCCCAAAATCTTCAGGTCCAGGAAAGCCATCTCTCCCCCTGGGTCCCCGGCCCTCATGTCTTGAGGGTCCTCCTCTTCTGAAGCTACAAGAAAGAACATGGTACAAATGTGGGTTTTAGACAGAATTTAGATTGAGAAACTTCAGCCAGCTTCAGTTTAATCATCAACTCATTTCTGAACTGTTTTACTTAATACTGTAGCACATACAGTTACTAGAATAGGATTTGTAGGTGGAAAAGTGCTCGTTTTCTGCCTTTGAGCACTTTGTCTATTCATTTTTGTAGTTTCCCCTTATTTCCTTCTGCTGATTGTGTTTGTTTCTCAAACAAGAAAAATACTTTCAAATATACTGTATTCATTTAATAAGGGGAGGGGGGGAGAAATCTGTGAGTGATGACAAACAGAAGGTAAAGTATAAGTGAATTTCCCTTAATGTGGTGGTCTTCTTTCCCCTTCCATTTTTTTTCCCTTCCATTGTAGTGATAAAAACAAACTGGAAGAATTCAAGCAATGAGAGTCATGACTATAACAGAACACATCAGCATCTCATTCCATTGGTTTTTGCTAACCTAAAACATTCTCTTTTCTGTTCCATTCTTCTCAGTTTACAGTTTTAGCAGATGAATCTAGAGAGCCTTTGGCTCTGTAGGGATGAGGGTGACTGTTGACCAGCATGCACAGTGGCATTCTACAACCTGAAGAGCAGTTTATTCAGCTGCGATAATGAAGGATTTTGCTTTGCAAAAGGTAGTTTTGACACTGAAATTGATAATGTCTACTAAGTCCCGTGGCAGTAATTTGCTATGACTGGGTTGTGCATCTCATGTGAAACGACTGTAGCTCCTCCAGTATCACACTGAGGTTTTAACTGAGGTGTTCAGAGAGAAGAATGGTTCTTAATGAAATGTCAGCGCCACTTCAGGTAAGCCTGTAGGTGGCTGCATGAACACCGGTAGTTTCGGTTTTCACCTTGCCAGTTTAAACACCTGCAGCACAGATGTGTTCTGTGTGCTACTGCACCTCCAGAAGTGCGCCCTGTCTAGCGCCGGTTGTTAGGACTGCTTTAGTTTACAGCCCCGTTTCTGTGCAAGCACAGGCGGGAGCTTTATGCAGTGCAGGCACACTGGTTCAGGAGTGCTCACGGTCAGTGCGACCCCACGCTGCTCCTGCCCACCCCTCAGCAGCAGCACACATCATGCAGGGCACTGTTTGCCCATTCCCACTGATGCCCCCCACCTCCCCTCTCTTCCCAGTTCCACGCTGGCCAAACTGTAACCTCCATAATACAGGGATGGTGTTTGCTTTGTGCAGCGTCCCCTTCCCCAGCTCATTAACGACACGGTGCATCCTATTACAAGCAAAACTTTAGATACTTTTATTTAGAATTTTAACAACATTAACCTTTTAATTACAAAGTTAAATATTTTAACAGTAGTCAGAACACAATACAATAGTGTTAAACTTTTACAATTTATGTTTCATGAAAAACAATAGGTCTGTCTCCACCTCCCAGAGAACAACCACAACACAGAGAGGAGGCTGCTGTGCCTGTAGAGGTACAACAGTGGATGGAGGGAGTGCTGTGTATGGACAATGAACCATTTTACATTAACCTGGATGATCTGGGAGAACAAACTGAGCAGTTTTAGGTACAAATGGTTCAGATGATCACATTGCAATATTGTTTAGCCTTGAAACAGCACAGTCTCCTTGATGTTCTTTAGAGGGCCTCCCATTTTAATACTGATATGGTATGATTCTGCTTAGCGTGTACATCACCAAGATTTGCAACACAAAGTCTTATGGCTAGCAGGAATAGGGCCTTTCCTTTTTGTTTCCAGGCAACATTATGGACATGGTTTAGTTTTGAAATCTATCACACCTATGCCTGACATAGCCACAGCTCCTAATATTGTGTTATGTATATTCTATTTCATATCAGTCATGTGTAAACCCCTGCCTTGCATAGGGCTCAGTTTCTGTTTAGACTGCTCTTGGATCTTCTTCCTTGAGGCCTAGGACCTTAACGTACAGAACTACAGACTGTGCAGATTAGCAGGCAGGAAGAGGCACGTCTCTACAGTAGAAGCATCATGTTAATGTGCATAGGTACAGTAAGAACAGGACAGGGATGAAAAGGACGGGAAATTAGAGAGAAACACACATACACACACTTCCTTCATGCTTCATCAAACCAGTTACAGTCTAAGTTCCTAACCAAGTCAGCTAAATGAGGAGTTGGGGTTCTTGAGTTCACCTCAGCATCTGCAGTAAATGGCACTTAATTTGCCTTCATTCAAAGGAGTTCATTAAGTTTGCAAGCACAATAAGCCTTTTAGAGCCCTGTGCTGATTCCTTTTAAACCAGACTGTACAAACACTTGCACTCTGACAAACAGACTCCTCTTAGTTAATAAGTTAGACTTACAGGTCACAAGGTCCTTAGAATCTTCCTGAAACCTTTCTAAAACTCAGGATCATCATAAAATACCTTCCAGTCCCACAGCATTTCCAAGGTAAGATTTGAAAATCTCTACTGAGCTTCTAAAAGCGTTGTCTGCTGCATCTTAGAGTTCTGTACTGCAGGGCATTCAGCTTGGATTCTCTCTACTTTTACTTTTTAAAAATGGCTTTGTTACCTTTTCTTAGTTATTGTTCATTTCTTTTCATACTCTTCACACAAAAGGAAGGTACAGCTTTACAGAGCTAGGAAGAAAATAGCTAAAAGAAGAGCTGTGTAGATGCAAAGTAAAAGGAATGTAAGAAAACGATTAAAAAGGCAACTAAAACACACAAAGTTCACATTATGTGGAGACCACAAGATATTTGTACATGTTCTTATACATACAGAGTTGGTGGGCAGTGAGAGGCTTAGACCTTGGAGGCCAAATTTAACCCAGTTAAACTAGCATGAATGTGAAGCCATTTCAATGACAGTTAATCTTGCTGAGTTAGCATAATTCCTCCATATTTACATTTGTAACTAGACACAAATTCATCCCTTAATTTATTTGGAAACTGAGCAATGATGTGGACATTGCTGTAAGTTGGGTATCTCCGAGTTCTTTGCTTGGCATTAAGAAATAAAGTTAGAAAGAGAAATAAAATCTCTACAAGCAAACCCATGAGAAAATAGTCTCAACAGTCCAGCAGATGCTGTAGCTCTGTCCCTTATATTTGATAGCAGGATCACTGTTCTACTCCTTACAAGTATCTTACATCTCATTCTACAGTCCCTACAGTCATGCTGTAGTTTGTGACTGGAGACAAAGTCTCAAAATCCACTTCTAGTGTTCAAAAGTTTGTCACTTTAACCTCCAAGTTTCCTCTCAATTTTCATCAAAACGGTCTCAAATCTTCATCCTGTGTCACTGGATCTTCTCTAAAAATTTCCTGCCTTCTCTTTACTTACTGTTTAAAGACACGGAAGCTGCTGTGTACAATGACCATTTTTTTCTTCTATTACTGAATGATTTTTATGGACTCTATACTCAGGTATATTAGAGTTTTCATTTCCTTATTGGTTTCCAGTTTATAAATCTGAAACAGATAGACTCCTTAATGAAGAGGAAACCAGGAAGAAAGAATTCCCTCCATTTACCCTTTAACCCCCCACAAAAATGAATAGATTAATTCTTACCTCTCATCTCGTCTTCCTCGGAAGCGTGCATCCTCAGGATCCCGTGGATATCTATCATCTGAAGGTCTGCGTCCTTCCCAAGCACCAGGAGGCCCACGGTTAGAACCCCCTCCTTCAAATTCCCTGTGATCAGGAGGAAAGGGAGGCCCAGGTCCACCTCGTCTCCATTTCTCATCTTGCAACGGTGGGCCTCCTCTCCCCTCAAATTCCCGTAATCGATGGCCAAATCTCTTATCTGGATGGAAGTCGTCACGGAAGTCATCTGGTCGATCAAAGTCATCATGGAAATCTGGGTGAGGTCCTCGTCTATCTGGCATGCCCCTGCTGTCTCTACCATCACCCCACTCCTGGCCACCTCGAAACAACCCTCTCTCAGGCCCATGGTCAGGACCACCACTGTTCTGGTCGTGCCTTCTATCTGAGAGAGGGCCCATGTGATGGTTTGGTGGACCACGGGAGTCACCTTGAGGGAAAAAATCATAGCAGACTTCTGTAATGGTTTCTAAAAAGGCTTTAGGATGCCCTAGTTCGTGCAGTTCTAAAAAGTACACACTATACATTTCACGTTACATCACTCTCTTCTGGCACAACGTTTCCTTCCAGCCCAAGTCTACAGAAGCTTTCCTCTCTGTCATGGCCCTGTCCTCTGCTGTAGCTTTTTCTGTCTCAAGGCACTGCACTGGAACAGCCTCTTCAGTAGAATTACTCACAGAAGAATAAACATACCTTTATTAAGACCTGGTCCTTGGTTGTGAGGGCCAAGGCGACCTTGTCCTCCCTGCTGCCCCAGTCCTGGTATCAGTGGTGGAGGACCTGGGTTCTGTCCATCCTATGAGCATATAATAAGAAAAGCCATGTGAATTGCCATGGGTGAGTATTTTTGTTTTTAAGCATTTTCTAAGGGGCAAAACAATTTTCTTTACATAAAGACTGCATCCACACAGGTATTACGAGAGAAACAGCTGCTTTTCCAAGGGTTTCAGCCTAATCTGTCAGACATTCACATCAGTAATGCTTTTCAGTCACTGTCTGAGGAACACATCATTTTATAGCAAACTTGGCTTTTTAGGGATTAGAATTTTACCCATAACAACCAAAGATATTAAAAGCTCACTCTAGCTAGAGTTAACATATTCTAACAGAGCATCTGTTAGAGCAGATGAGGAAACTGTCTATTTGATTGAAAAATATCAGGTACTGATTTAAATGCAGTTAAAGAACTGCACAGACCAAGATTTCCTTTGGAAATGAAGAAAATAAAACAATGCCAAAGAAAAAATAAAGACTTTTACAAATAATCCTTGTAAACTTTTCACAAGGAAATACATGAGTTTCATTTTAAACATGCTGGATCAAAACATCATCTAGGATCAAAAGCAAGTCCTAACACCTGGCTAAGCATCAAGACACGTTAATGGGTTAGTAAGCAATGACAGGGCTAAAAGCAGGCAGTGTAGCAGCTTTTCTCAAGCAGAAAGAGTGGAACAAGCAGATGTTTGTGCAAGTAACATGATCCCAAAGGAAAAATTAAGTATGTGTAAGTATTTTGTTATTTTCTCTCTTCTTTTGTGAATTTCAAAGGATAAAATAATAATCTTTAAATTCACTATCACAAACCCATGAAAGATTTCTACAGGTACCACTTTTACACTGGGCCCACTATGACAACATTGGCCAGGAAACAGTACAGTTGAACTGTCCGATTCTGCCTTTAAATAGCAAAAGCCAGACAAAAAGTCATCATCTGGGGTTTGTACTCGACTGGAACTATGTAATTTACACTGTGAACAGGACAGACTTGACACCTGCAAGATGGCTGCACAAAACCTTTTTTATGTTGGCATCACCAAAAAATAAAATCCCCCCAAACCCATACCAGAAAACCCTGAACACAGACTATTTTTTCCCCACACAGGTCTAATTTGAAAAGATTTATGCTTGGCTTTCATATCGGCTTCTAAAAATCTCTCCAGACTGTAGGTAGTTTGTAAATACTTAAACTTCTCCATTCACTGTCATTGTACTTGTGATTACACTGCTTAAGCTCTCCATGAATCAAAGTTAAGTAATTTTCATGCTCTACATTTATTTTTTATAAACACTACCTTTTTCTTTCTCTTTACAAAGAAGCAGTAAGTTACTTCATGTATTTTTCCCATCATATTTTGAAAGATGGGTGTTCAATTAAACCCATATTCAACTGCAGTCGAGTGCACAACAACAAAAAGCACACAAATATATACTACAAACATCATAGTTTTGTAGTGTACTTGCATTGAGTAATATCATAAGGGATTTGGAAAAAAAAAAATCGTAATAAAAGGCCTGTTCCAACGCCTATTAAAAAATCTCCAACACAACAACACAACCACCAAACCCACTTTACTAATGACTGAATGTTGACTTGAGTCCAGAACAAATAAATCCCCTTACTAGGTAAGATCCAGCTCTACACAATGCTTCTGCTGTTCTTGACTAAAACCTTGCTGGAGTTCCAAGATTTCTCATATATTTAGCATACACTTACAATAATAAGCTTTAACGAACTTCTTAAATTTACACCACTGGTGTTTAACCAAAGCACCAGTTTTTGGCACTCACTGAATGAGTTTCCTCAGTGTTTAACAAAAACCTCTATTCCAAACAAAGCAACAAATTGTGCTTTGACAAGACAGGAAGCCAAAGCTGTAATACTGCATTTCCACAAGCCTTTCAGGTTCTGCATAACTCATAAGCTGCTGCAGAATGCACTCTTAACTTGTGCTCCACAAAGTACAAAGGTAGGTAAAGTATTTCCATATCAAGGCAGGAAGCAGGGTGGATGTGGGTACTGAAACTGTGTTCCTGTGCACTCAGTCTGAACTGGTAAATTCAACCAGACCCAAGCAGATTACAGATGTGCCAGCATCTATGGTAAATTCCTCCCATGGTTTGGGTTATCTAACCCTGGGACAACTGTGAGATGATAGTAACTTGCTTTGATTATTACATAAAAGTTTCAGTTTGCTTAGATATCACTCTTATGAGTGCTTACCTGCTCCCCAGGAAACTCCCCATTAACAGTTCAGTGTCTTCAAATTAAAACAACTGGAGTTACATATTTTCATAGCAGACTGATTTCAATACCAGTGCTTTCAATAATCCCTTTTCTACAGTTACCTCTGCTGTTTCCAAGCTACATAACTCTTTTCAATAGCATTTAAGTTTTCCTGAGGCCTCACTTTCGGCAAGCATACCAAACCTTCAGCCTCTCAGCAGTTACTTTGCATTTCTACTGCATGACATTATAATTCCTACATTCTTAACACTCTCATTATACAGACCTTGTGATACATACCTGATTAAATGGGGGACGAGGCCCATCACCCAACAGAGGTGTTTTCTGCTGCTGGAAAGGCAGAGGCCCCTGGGAAGGGTGCGGCCCCCTTGAAGGGTTTGGTTGTCCCTGAGGTCCTTGGATGTTTCCTTGAGGCCCTACTAAAGAGCCTTGTGGAGGTCCCTGCTGGCCTTGTGGCCCACGCAATTCTTGCGGTGGTCCTAACATTGTACCTTGAGGTGGGGGCCCCTGGAGACCTCTCATCTCCTGGGGACCATGTCCTAGTAAACCACTTTGCATATGAGGACCTCTCATTTCTTGCGGATGACCCATCATCATCCCTTGTGGAGTAGGTCCCTGGTTATCTCTGGGTCCTGGTGGACCCTGCATCCCTCTTGGATTAAGTCCCATCAAAGGCCCTTGAGATATAGGGCCTTGCATCCCTTGAGATCCTGGAGCTCCTTGCATGCCATGAGGAAGAGGTCCTTGCATTCCACGGGGACCAGGTGGCCCTTGCATTCCTTGACCACCGGGAGGACCTTGAGGACCCAAGTGACCTTGTGGGCCAGGTGGACCCTGTGGTCCTAAATGAGTCTGAGACCCAGGCAGACCCTGTGGTCCCAAGTGGCCTTGTGGGCCAGCACTGCCCTGTGGGCCTGGAGGTCCCATTGGCCCATGAGGACCTGGATGTCTCTGCATTCCTTGATGTCCATGTAAATCCTGAGGCCGTGGCATTCCTTGTGGAGGCCCCTGAGGTCCCTGTGGTCCCATGAACCCTTGTGGACCTCCAGCTCCTTGGTGTAATGGAGGACCCTGAGGTCCCATTTGCCCTTGGGGTCCCGGAGGTCTGAACTGTCCTTGTGGACCAGGAGGTCCCATCTGAGGCATATTCATTTGCATCTGCTGAGGAAGAGGCTGCTGAAATCCTTGAGGCATCTGTGACATTGGGCCTTGGCCTGGAAAAGGCTGGGGTCCGTGAAGAGAGCCTCCTGGAGGTGGTGGCTGCACTTGTTCAGCTTGCTTCTGTGCAAGTCTCTCAATCTTCAATTGCTGCCCAAAGAAGAGACACTCAGATAATAAGCCAAGCACAGAAGTATATGTAACAACTAAAATATCAGAAGCAATGCTCTCGTTTCTCAGGAGTTTAAAAAGGTTTAGTGCTTTTCTCTCCATTAACAGCAGTACAACTGCAGAGATCCATACATTGGTATGAGTTAACTGAAATGTGGGAGCCTCATTGAAGGTGTCAAAGCATCATGCATTAAGTCCAATTAGATGCTTAGTTGGTTGGTTTGTGGGTTTGGGGGGGGGGGTTTAAAAGGTGAAGACAAAAATAAGATGCTAATTTTAAGGTTGAGGTCCAAACATTTCACACAGACCACTTGCTCAAACAAATCTGCTAATATCTGTCTTTACATACATACCTCCAAGAGTTGCGGGTTTGTGTACTGAAGTGCTGCCATTTCCTGTTCAATCTCTGCCTGTGTCTTCTTTTTCTCCTCCAGCTTAATATCTTCCTTTCTATCATTCAATGGCTCAGGTGGGGGAGGCAGAGGAACTTTATTCTGCATCCATGCCTATAGAGAAGAGTAAACACAAGATGAATTCTGTGGAGCAACGTGTATGTGATATACTGCTGCGTTAGGAAAGGATATGCTGGAATGCTGTGTAAGGTGGATATACAGAAGCTAAAAACAATACTGAATAAAACTTCCATATCTTGTAACATACTATTTTCCAGGTACAGTTACAAGATATAAGGATGTAACCAAATATTTTATGCTTAAATAGTAATTAAATTAACTACTGTGGTAAATTATTTTGCAGTGGGTTTTGATACCAAAGAGCTGGTTCTGAAAATCCAAAGCAATTCAACAGTCACACACTTTCTGAAGTTGGAAAACTAACAAGTTGTTCTGGTCACTGTATATCAGGTGCTTACCTGCTGAAACTGTGCTGGTATTGGTTTTGCATAGGGCACTTTTTTCTGTGGCACCTTCTTTTGGTCCTTTTGCATTACCTCCTCCATTCCCCAGTCCAGTCCTGGGATTGTCATTTCAATGTCATTGGAATCATCTTTCCCTTTAGCACCAGAGAGACAAACAGTCAGAGCAATGCAGGTTTACAGAGAAACACTGTTACTCTATAGCTTATTTCACAAAAAAGACCAAGAGGTTTTCGACTCTTCCTCCTTTACATGGGAAATAGGCACAATGCAGAACTTTAGGGAAAAAAAACCAAACATCTGTGGCATCAAAATATAGAAAAGAATCAAAGAAGTCACAGTGTTTGGATTGCTCAGGAAAATGCCTCCCCATGGCTACTACTTACCCATCTGCTCTTGCTCCATGGCTATTTTCAATTGTTCAGGTATTCCCATCCCAGGAATAACTGCTAGGCTGTTGGGTTCTAGATCATCTAGAGAAAAACAACATTTATACTTGGAACAGTTTCCTTCACATTATCATTTTATCCCTTGAGATTCTCATGTGCTTTTACCATTGGTATCATGACATATTTCACAACTGGTGGGTCACTTTAATTCCATACCCAAATTACAGGATATTAAAAGAACTGCAAATTCAGATTCGAAAATACATTCCGAAAGGTCAGAAACTGTATTCTTTCAGGAAAGTTATACGTACGGTACCATATATAGTACTATGCATTTCCTCAGAAAAGGAAATAATAACCCATACCCATTCTTGTTAGAACAAATCTATATATTTTAAAACTTAAATTGTATTAAAGTGCTGCATTTCAATTAACATTCCCAAACACAAAAGAGCAGATCATCCCAAATCTGAAGAAGCAGATGCAACCCCAGAGATGAAAAGGTTGCTGAGGCATGCCATAGAGCAAATTACCATTATCTTAACAATTGTAGGCCCTGAGCAGCCTAAAATTCCCAAGATAAAACCTTAAGAAAGTGCTAAGATTTTAGTCAAGTTCAATAATTTGAAAGATTTTCCTGCTGTCATTCAGGACTGTGGAAGTCTTGAAGTCACATGAAGGTTTCAAGACGAAAAGGGTACTGGAGATACTGCCCAAGAGCGAGCCAAACCTTGTTCCTGTGATTCACAGAGCAGGTCTTACCTCCTGGAGCTGCAGAAACAAATGAAAACTCACTGTTGGAATGGTGATCACCGATAACATGGAGAGTAAAATCATGGTCGTCTCAATGAAAAAGTATCTTTGCCTAGGTTGTCACCAATGCTATAATACTATTTCATCACCTTACCTAGAGGCTGCACTCTAGTGTCAGCTAACGACCAAGGCTTGTTTCCTGAGCCCAACCCTCTTCCTTCCATATTAAGGGAAATTGCCTTACCATATTCCACGCCATCTTCCGACATCCCAGGCAGCAAATTCAAGTTGTAACGATCTCGCATCTTATCTCCAGGCCGATTTCTAGTCCAGAACTTGCTGTCAAAAGGAAGTTATATGATCTCAAATAAGGGTCTGATTAATGTAATAAATTCTTTAACTTTTATAGTGTGCTATCTTGATTATATAAGGATTCAACTCTTACTAGATCAAGTGCAGTGCTAGATCTGAACGTTAGGTGTGAGGTTCAAAGCAAAAATAAAACCTCAGAATTATCATACTCAATTATAGTTACATTTCAGAAGATACTTCAAAATATAAGGAGTATAAGGATAAAGCATCAGCATCAGACCCTGAACAGACAGATATATTTCTAGTCCATTCAAAAAACTTCTCACTCAATTCAAATACATCCTTACACTCAGCTAAACTTGTCAATACACACATCCACATAGAAAAATTTACTCCACTTATAGAACACTCCATGTTTACAGCATGTTCAACCTAAACGCATGTATTTTGTGCCTCCAAACATGCTTGCAATGTGAAAAGACAGACATGGCCAGCAGATGATCTGCAGGAAAAAAATGCTGTGGAGGTTAAGAATATTTCTTTAGCAAGAAACTACAACAATTCTTTCTTAAGAATTTCTTCAGGAGATTTCAAAGCTCTCATAAAACCCAAATCCTAGTATTTTTAAGGCTTCCTTAGATGAAAGAAAGACGTTAGACACTTCTTTCAGTGTAAAAAGTCAGTGCCTTCCCATTCAGGTAAGTTTGTGTCTCTGCTTTGCACATGACCAGAATCATCCCCATCTATTCTTTGTTCACTGATGCCATGCACCTTTCCAATGTATATACATTCCCTTAGATCTTTTTCTTTAAATACTTGAGAATACCTCGTGTGATCATTTGAGCCTGAACAAAGAATGTGTCCAAGGGGATGCCACGCCAGACTCCAGATCATTCCCTCATGGGCCATTTCCATTCCACCAACCTCCTTCTCAACCCTGAAGTGTATTAATAAACAAATCAGTCATGACACTGGTGAGTATCTGCCACAATATAAACCTTTTGCTATTCAGTTGTTCCTCTGTCCCATATTTTGCTAAACATAAGCCTGTTTTTTTTTCCATTGGGTGAATTGAACATTCTCAATTGTTCTCAATAAGGAGCTCAGTAACGAAGGGATTTTAACTGTACATTTAGAAACAAAATAATTATAACATCTCAGAACAAGCTCTAAGAAACCAGGATTTTGAAACATTCATCACCCTCTCAACAAAAAGCTATTTTCTGTGCAAGCAACTGTGTCCTTTAAAAACACATCTGCACAGGAAAACTTCATCAGTGAAGCACATCTGACCAATACCTATCTAACATGCTGATGAAAATGCCACATACCCAACATGCCAGAATAACAAAGAACCATCAGATCCTCCACTGGCAAACAGCCCCTCATGAACAGGATGCCAGGCCACAGCTGAAATACAAAGTAAACCACAATCAGACAGTACAACACAGGATTTCTAATGAATGGAAATCAGGATCTCAAAAACTTTAATTTTTAATCCAAATCCACAGAATATAACAAATTCTGACCTGTGGCCTCCTTTTTATGACCTCTGAAGACCTGAAGTTCTTCTTTCAGATTACGAATATCAAAGAGCTTACAGAGATGATCACGAGAAGCTGTTAGCAGCCAGTTGCCATTCAGATTCAGTTTCACCTCCATCACTGTGTTTTTATGAGCATGCCTGCAAGCAGAGATAGACTGTTTGTCCCGATACTGATTTCTCAGACACACTAAAACCCTGATAATTTACCAGTCCCAAATATTCTGATCAATAGCAAAGTAGTTCAAGCTACTAATCCAGAATACTGCGGCTTTCTGTGCAAAGGCCCTATGCCTCAATCCTGTTCCTGGATACTTCAGAGCAACTGGTAGTGCCCATCGTGACAGTGTTCAGTTACTGTGCATGTTTCCCATGCAGCGTAAGAAATTTTTATCAGCCAGATGAAACATCTCATTTGTGTTTCCATATCTCAGGTTTGCTTTCACATGAGAACTGTGTGAGCAAGAGGCCTACAGAGAAGGACAAAGGAAATTTAAATTCATATTCCATATTAAAGTCACAATTTTCCAAGTGTAGACTCGTCTTCATCTAACCTCTAGATTTTCTGGCAGAGCTAAAGCACGAGCTTCATATTTGAAGCAATCGGGTACAGATGAAAAGATGCAAGACAAAAAGCTAAGAAAGGAATGAAAAAGCTTTATGAAATTAGCTTGTGTTTCAGCAAATCAAGATCTGTGGGCAAGAACTTACAGTGTGGCAAGGCTCTGGCCAGTCTTTGGATCCCAGAACTTAATGGGCTGTTGGCTATCTTTACTTCCTGATACAACTAATCCCTTTGTAGGATGCCAGTCAACACATTTCACATCTGCTCCATGTCCTGTTAAGGAGATAAAAATTGTTCATTTTGAGATTTCAGATGCTGAAAAATGAAAGGGTACACACTTTGTAACTGTGATGTAAAACTGAATGAAGACCATCACAGAGCACAGGTCACAAAACCCAAGCAAACTAAATAAAATCTCCTTTGATTTAGGTGCCTTTCTTCCCACTAATCACTGGGACCACCTACTCCTTGGATTACATCCTCAAACAAAGCTCACTTCAACAACATCAAAACTCTCTAAGAAGTTTCTGCTCAAACTGGTACTTTTCTTTAGGCTTTGGCCCTGTATTATTACAGTGTTTTAAACATAACCCTGATAGAAAGTTTGTATGGAATCGGAAAGGGAAAGAACCACTGTGGCACTTCCCTATCTGTGAAATGTTGCAGAAATCAAAAGCAAACACATTTATTCCTGTCCTATCAGTACGCTTTTGCTGTCCTGTCCGTAAACAAAGAAATGACATTATGGATCTGAAAACTAAATTAGCATATGATGAAAAGATATCGTATGAAATACAACCTCTTACCAGGTCAGAGGGATTCAGGTTTTTCTAATGCTCAAGAGTTAAGGATCACCCCAGTGATATCATTTCACTTTAAACAGACTGACTGACCTTGACAGAGAATCACTGCTGCTCATATGACGTAAGATCTGCAAGAAGAAATGCCTGCTCCTGCTACACAACAAAACAAGGTTTCTGAGCTGAACTATAGGGATTTAGAGAAGAAATACCAAGCATTAATTTCTTTCTCTGATCTCTCTCCATGCCAGCCCACTTTAAGGGAAAGACAACAGTTAATACCAGGAAATGAGGCAGCACGCAGGAACTAAAGAAAAAAGCAATATGGGAAAGGAAGGGCTGTCTACAACATAAAGGCACTGAAGTTATAAAATGGTATGGAAAAATGGTAGCATGTTCCCTGAAAGACAAAGATTTCCCATTAAAGTAAGGGTTAGGGTTTCTTCCAAGACCTGAGTTAAACCAGCCTAAATATGTACCCTGAGGGAAAAAAGGCTCAGAAGGGGCAATCCAGTTCAAGGTCAGAGCCATACTGGTGAGCAGAGCAACTGAAGCCCCATGCTTTTAAAGTCCTCAAAAGGGAGTGAGTGATGGGACAGCACCAGACTAATCAGCTGGTCAGAAGCCAGGTTTGATAGTCACTATGCACTAGGCCTAGACCACAAAGCTGAAAGGTCATAAAAGACAGCAGGCTTAAAAGACTCAGAACTTGAAACCAGAGAAGATAAATCATTAAGAATTTATCAGCAGGCTTCTGACCATCGTAAGCACCACGATGCTTGGTCTTAATTTCTTTCTTCATCCTTATTTTTTCTTTTTCAAATTAGAGCAACTGACACTGCCTGTTGCTTCCCTTCTTTCTGCCGACAGTCGTATGTACTATTATTTGTAATGAGAGAGATAATGCAGAAAATGTATTTAAAACAGAACTCCAGAGAAAATGCAGCCTGGTACATTTTCCTTTGTACTTATTTTCAGTTTTTAGTTCTAGGCTGAGACCTGGGAATTGGACTCTTCTGTGGTACAGAACCCCTGTCACCAAGCATCACACTCAGCAAACCTTAATTAATGCAAATCTCTGTAGTTTACATTCCTTATTTGTTGATTGTAGACAGCTTTTGCTCAGTAACTTCAATAGTTGCATGTATGTCTCTCTGACCTAGGAGAGCGGGGATGGGGATTCCTCTCTGAACAACACGTGCACTCTTTCTGCCCCTGAGCCCATCTGTAAAACGCAGAGATATTACAACATCTCCTGTCTTTATGGATAAACAAATTGAAATGCGTGAGTGGTCAGAAGTCATGGAAATGAAAGGCCTATAAACTGAGACGAAGGACTGAAGGTAAAGACTCTTCATAAACTGAACTTGTTTAAAATCATGAGTTACTGTCCAAGCATAAAAAAGTATTTTCTCATTTTTACAAAACCCCACAGAAAATAAAAACAAGCATATGTAGATTCTCTTAAAAGTTCAGATGCAAAAGTATTTCTCTAATAATACTTTTCATATACATTTTTGAGCTGTAGTCAAAATGTTGTAATACATTTTGTGACTGTAGTCACAACCCCATTAATTAAAACACTGATAGCATAACACTCGTTATAGCGTAACAAGCTATAATAAGATTATGGGTAATAGCATTAGTTCAAATCCAGTACGTCGCAAGCCTGGAAAAGCACACATAAATTAAGGACTTGATTTCCCCCTCTCCCCTGATTTCTGCATATATGACTTACTGAATGTAGTAGTTGTGTAAAAAAGTGTAAAAAAGTGTAAAAAAGTTGTTTTGGATCACTCCCTTTTTATTACAGTCTAGATTATATCTAGACTGTATACCTATATATTTTCTCTCTATATATAGAGATATTTTATAATGCAACTGTGTATAAACTATCAATTACAGATATATCAGGTTTACTGCTATAGCTATTTTTTTTCCTATTATATCCTTTCCCCTAGGAGTGACCCTTTCTAAAGGCTATTCTATTTGTTTGGATTTGTTTTGTTCTTTTAAAGACACGTGGTTCTCTTATGCTGTTTTAAGTGGGGAGTAAATAGAACTGGATATCCTCTACTTGCATTGGTCAGACTTGAAGCCTGTTCATCAGCACACAGTAATGTTCACCTTCCTGTAATCTTTATCTCCAAAATAACAGAACACCTCTCAGAAGAGCAGGCCCTTTGTAGCAGACTATTTCCAAAGGATCTGCAGAGACATCAGGTCCTACTACTGTCCAAGCTATGACTTTCCACCCCCAAAAAGAAGGTGGGGTGAGGGGAACACAGACACCTGCAAGTCAAAGATAATGGAAAACAAGCATGTGAGCAGGAAGATACTCGAGTTTTCTCCATAATCCTCTTAGACTTTATTAGTTGCTTCCAGCCTACTGGGCAAATTGAATTAATCTGCCCATTCTGTTTTTAGAGAAAGCTTTTAGAATGTTATCTGACAGTCACCCATTCCCCTAGCAATTCCTCGCTTCTACATAAAGCTCACTTAGGAACTGAATACCTCATACCCACAAGACCCTAGCTACTGTTTTGATAACACCAATCAAGCTAACACTAAGAATGTATTTTAACTGCATTAATTTAGCGCTCTTTGCCCCATGCAGTACAGTATGTGAACTCTGCTCCTCTTGAAATCTGTCCTATTCACTTCCTATTCTCTGCTCCAGGAATGAATACCACAGAAACCCTCCACCTTCAGATACACAGTATGCTTTTTCTTATGAGCATAATGGGGGAGACTGGTGAATAAGGAATTAAGGGAAAAGGCCCTTTCAGTCTTCAGTGGATTAAGAACAGTGCCTCCCAATATACTTCCAGACCTTGGACCCATAATCTCACATTTTTTTCCCTTTATTTGCCCACAGTCTTTCTGTAGCTCTGTTAGTTTATTAAACACAGTATCTAGAGAGACTGCTAGAGCTTTAATCTATGTACAGGGATTCTTTCTTACAGTTCTATAATACGCTTTCTTCCCAGACAAAAGCTTTTCTATCAGGACAGGGATTTTTTTTTCTCATCTGTGAAATCAGAAGGTTTAAAAAAACCCATAATAATCAGTACACACTCATGAGATTAGTTTTTGAAATTACAGGTGAGGGGAAATGAGTTTTCCCAACATTACCTGTAACAGGTAATCAACCCCCAAAACGTTCCCTTTAGAATTTGTATGTGCTAGTCCTAACTGAGCGTATCCCACTCAGGGAATAGTCTGAACTCCAAAAAATCCTGAAACACTAGAAAAAAAAAACAAACAACAAAACCAAGTTTAAACTTAATGCTACTTGTGGGCTTGCACAGCTTGCACAACAGCAAAGAATCATGACACAAATGTTATGGTACATGTAATTATCAGTAATGGCATGTAGTGGTCTGAATTCTTTACATTGGTTGAAATTCAATGACAGTACCTTCTGTATGGGTTTATATCAAGGGCAAGAAATGCAGCTGTGTCCCAAGTGTATGTGGGACCTGGATCATGCAGGGTTCAGTTTGTAGCTAATGGGACTACTTGTATGTTAAAGTGAATGTTTAGATTCTTCAGTGAATTGAAGGTAAAATGCTGAGCAGCTTCCACAGCTGAAATGCACTGCTTTGAACAGAAACAGAAGTTACACACTGAAAATATCTACTGCTTCAGATTTGTGGTACCAGGTCTTTTTTGGTTTCAACCATTAAGCATGTTCATGCTAGAGCCTACAAACACTATAGAGATACATTTCCTTTTAGATTTGGTTGTCCCTAACTCCTGAAGGTATTTTTGAGCATTAGCACTACCTACACCCAATCAAGTTGTTTCCTGTATATGCTTAAAACATCTAGAGAGAAACCAAGTTTGACAGTAGGTTGTGCAACAGCACAGTAATGAGACCAGCGTCTGCAGCAAACAAAGAGCTGTTTGACGTTCTCTTAGAAGTGAGAACTATACGACAAAATCAATTCAGTATGCATGTTTCACAATTTCTAATCATAAGACATAGTTATTACCTAGATTGAGCACAGATAATTATCAAAGTTACTTTAGCCTCTAAAAATATAACAATTTTCTCGAATTTTGCTTAACATCCAGATTTTCTAATTTTAAGTGCACTTTTATGCACTTAAAAAGAAACCCCCCCTATGTATAACATTAAATCTGTCACCCAGTTCACCTATGTGGCAATGCTTTAAAATGCAGCATAATGCTTAGTGCATTAGTCATCAAGAAGTCCTTATTAACCTTAAACAGAAAGCCAGCAGGAAGCTCAGAGCTAGCTGAAGAGAAACGAGAGTTAAAAGTAGGGCAGGAAGTATGAAAGGAGAAGACACACCACATTAAAAAACTGTTCAACACCTTCTAATTCAATATATATATATTAGTGCTTAGCAATAATGGCAGCTGAATTGAAGGACAAAGGCAGGTTTTCATCACAGTTGGAGTTAAATTACTTATGAAAAGCAGACTGGATTCTACTTTGCCCTC